ACTTCACCTGTCGAATAAAGATATTTTGTTTTACGTTCACGCACAAAAAGTGATGAACTTCTAGTATTTTTTTACTTTAATATTTATTTTTATCCCTATTATTATTTCATATAATGTTGGCCTGAGATGAGGTTAGATGGAGAAACATGGCTAGTGAGGATTCATATAGTCAACCCAAACTTGTTTGGGACAAAGGTTCAGTTGTTGTTGTCGTTGTTCATGAACAGCAAGCTGATTCTATTAATCTGAGGTCGTTTTTATGGATTGTCCTACTTTCCTTACTATATTACCTCATCTCATTTGTTTGTTTGCTATGCTGATCGGGTACCAGAGAGAGATTAATATCTTCTTCATCTATTTGCTTAGGTGATGGCACGTTCTTCTCCAATGGATAAACATACGCTAGTGAAACATTTACGTACGACCTTTGAAGAAGTTGTTGCAGTGACTGGAGACGGCACTAATGATGCTCCTGCCCTTCATGAAGCAGATATAGGTCTTGCTATGGGCATTGCTGGAACTGAGGTGATATTTAGTTACTGTTGTAGTATAAATTATCTTCTCAAGTGTGGTTTGACAATGGGAACTTGTTGTTTTTTCAAGCGAGTGCAACCTTGAGAGCACCGCCCGCTATTTCAGCTGCAAATTATTCAATGTGAAAAGTACCGGTATCCAGTGCATGTTAATTGAATAAAACATCAGAAAGAAGACTGTGAAAGCAATGTTTCTTACCAACTAGTAAATAGCAGATACTTAACCATTTTTTTTCCTTGAAAGGATAAGTGTGTATAAAAGAGGATGAGTTCTTTCTGATTTTCTGTCGAAGAGCTAGCATAATTTGTTATATTCCACTCCATTTGGAATTGCACTTTCCCTTGATTAAATTGAAGTGAAGTATTTCCCATAAAAACTACGGCTGTTGCTGTGCAAAAATTTGATGTAGTATCTTCACGTTAGAAGAAACTTGTAAAATGACTAATTGGTTAACCATATTGAGTGTGACATTAGAATGTTTGACAGAAAATATTGACTTGCATCTACATAACTCCACTTAAACATGTGTGCTAGTCAAAGTAGATTGAACTGGGAAAGTAAAAAAATTGTTTGTCATTGCTAAACCTGGCCTGTTCTCCCAAATACGGACCGTAAATTTTTTGGAGGAAGTCTTTATATGATTTGCCTCCACTCTTATTAAGGAGATTAGGTGTGTGTATTTTGGGCCTAGGAAAATGCTGAAATTTTTCTTCTACAGTGAAGCAATTGTGACCATTTTCTGTTCACCACCTATTGTTCCTTCACAAAGAATTTACTTTACAAAAATTAAGTTTTGTCATGGCTCTTTTTTCTTTTTTTCTGCTGCATGCTTATGGATTTCCTCTCTCTTTAGTTCTATGGAGATCATGACCTTTTTCTTCAACAACATTATGTTACTTCACAAATAATTTACTCTACAATAAAATAAGAAGTTCCTTCATGGCTCCACTTTCTTTTATCTGCCAAGGGCTAATGACTTCTCTCGTTTTATATCTTCCTTTTGTGATGCCATAAGCAACTTAGCTTCACTTGCACTTGATCTCCTATTCAGGATTTTCTCTGTTCTATTTAGGCATTTCATTTGATCATTGCATTCCTGGTCAAAGATCGTAAATTATACTCTATTGATTCAGTTATACAGTACGGTAATGAGTACAGATATGATTATTATTTTATTAATTATTGATGATGAATATGTATAGCCTCGCAAGTGCTGTTAGTGGGTCTTTCCTGAATGACTACTCTCCTGATGTGTATTAGTTTTTCTTCTTTTTAACTATATAAACTTCAAAACTAAATTTATTTTTTTGGTAAGGAATTTTTTTAAATTTGATTTGGCCGTTGTACTGTTAAACGATGAATTCGTTGTTTTAGGATCCTACTATAAAGACTTATAATATTTCTGGCTTAATAGAACTAAAGAGCTGCTATTTATCAGCATTTAGTGAAGCTGGAAAATTTTCATTCATCAACTTGTTTGAACCTCCCATTTTCCTCTCTAAGATTAGTAGTGCCCATACCTAGTATTCCATTCACAATTTGGACTTCGAAGAGAAACTGATTTTTTTTCACCTTGCTTTGTGTTGTAGGACACCGATTTTATATGGTTACTAGATGTTTATTTGTTTTCCTGGATTCATCATGTTGTCTGGTTTTTGGTTCCAGGTAGCTAAAGAGAGTGCAGACGTTATAATTTTAGATGATAATTTTTCAACAATTGTGACTGTGGCCAAATGGGGACGCTCAGTTTATGTGAATATTCAAAAGTTTGTTCAATTTCAGCTGACCGTAAATGTGGTTGCCTTGATTGTCAACTTTTCTTCAGCCTGTTTGACAGGTAGCGTATCTTGAGCTAAGAATTACTATTTACTACCTTGAACACATTTCCCCTGGAAGTTGTAATTTTGAGATGTTCTTCTATACATTTTCAGGTAGTGCTCCACTTACTGCTGTTCAGCTTCTGTGGGTCAACATGATCATGGACACACTGGGAGCTCTTGCACTAGCTACTGAACCTCCTAATGATGACTTGATGAAGCGAACACCTGTAGGAAGGAAGGGGAACTTCATTAGCAATGTCATGTGGAGGAACATTTTGGGACAATCTTTTTACCAATTTGTAGTCATATGGTATCTTCAAACTACTGGCAAAGCTCTCTTTCATCTTGATGGATCAGATGCTGACTTGATTTTGAACACAGTCATCTTCAACTCTTTTGTGTTCTGTCAGGTAATTTACCTGTTTGCCTTTCAACATATAATCTTTCACTCTTCCTAATGCATTAAAGCATAGCATATTTATGATTTTTTTAGTTGATTCCCATCTTGTTGCTGTTATTTGACATGTGTAAAATGAATTAAAAACACAGATTACTCTGCAGGTTAACATGAAAGCTTTCTCAATATCATCATTTTGTTTCCATAATGGGAAAAAAGCATGTCACTGCCACATTTAAATCAACCGAGGAGGTTGAAAACCCCGGGTAGAACATCACTAAATCCACTAGTAACACCTAAGTATAATCTTTGTGTTCTCTTGCAGGTTTTCAATGAGATTAGCTCTAGAGATATGGAAAAGATAAATGTCTTCAAAGGTATACTGGACAACTATGTTTTTGTTGCTGTCCTCAGCTCTACAGCTCTTTTCCAGATCATTATTGTTGAATTCCTCGGTACCTTTGCAAGCACTTCTCCCCTTACATTCCACCAGTGGTTTACAAGTGTTGCAATTGGATTCCTGGGAATGCCGATTGCTGCTGCCATCAAGATGATCCCAGTAGGATCAAGCTGAACTCAACTTGGAGGAAACTAGTAACTTACAACTGGCTTGAACTTCACTCAAGGGCATCGACTCAAATGTTTGCAGCTATGAATCATAAGTGTCAAAGCGCTCAGTCTTGAAGGTGGGAGATCTTGACATAAATGGGCAGCACGAGTTGGTCAAGTTGATCAAGTTCCAACAGCTTCTCATAATGTTTGGAAGACCGCTCTGAAGATACTGAACGGCTTGATTCTCCTTAAAAACACCTTAAGGGAAACATTTGTGAAGTATTTCTGAACATGCCATGGTTGTAATTACACCTTGATATGGTACGATGCTGGTTGGCTTTGTTTCATTGCATCATCATATCAATATTTTGGGAACAATCATATTCAATTTTCTCTTTTTGTTTTGCTCTACATTAACTTATTTCAGCCATTGCTAGTTCTTTCAATCAAATTACTACCTTGTCATTATCGCAACGATTTCATTACAGTGGTGTTCCTCCAATCTACATCTGTCTGAAGTCTGAATGGTGACTATGGCACTAAGACCAACTATGTAAGAGCTTGTTTGATTATGTATGAATTGTAATGTAGATTTTATTTATGCTGCTTCTACAACAAAAGAAAATAGGGTTTTTATTTATAATAAATCTTTTATGATACACGTATGGTGCTTCTCCTGACTAGCTACCAAACGACCTTCAAGTTCTCTCGAGGTATTATTAACACAGAGAGTAGAAGCACACGTATCCAAAAATATTACGAGTACTTACAATGAATCAGTTACTCATTCTAGTTATGTCTATTCTTGTAACATCTCTTGATATGAAAAAAATTTCTAAAATCAAAAGGAGTAACACAATCCCAATTGAATTCAACAAAAAACCAAAATCTCCATTCTCCTTATGGCATTCACATTAATGTTGTAAGCTCCAACTGGATATGGTGGCACATCATCTATGTTTTCATTCATTTTCGCAGATAATGATAAACAAGTCACTGCTAGATCGAAATTGTGGTCCTGTCTGTATCAAAATTGAAAAAAAAAATCAGTCTTTTTTATCATAACAACAACATATTCAGGGGAAAATGAGCAGAGTTGGTGTTTTTTTTTGACATGCTCTGTAAATTTATGAAAAATGAAGTGAATTGAGTTCCTGATTACTAACTCTGTGAATGTAATGGATTGCATGAGTTCGCATTTCTTGATTCCAGTTGTCATTCACAAGTACTTCAACTTCTTGATTATTAAGTCGAACGTCGGTGATTTCTCGGCTGATTATGGAAGTAAAGACGGTTAGGGAGCGTTTTACCATTCAATATGAAACTTTTCTACGCGAACTCGAATTTAATCAGACTCAAAATTAGAGATCTGATACCGGGTGGGAAACAAAAAAATAAATTAAGTAAAGATAAAATGAGAAAAAAATATTAAGGTACTGACATAATCACACCAAATCGATCGTTACCTAAAAATGAATCTTTTTATAGTTACCTAACGATGATTTTATACAATTAAATTCAATTATCAATGAAAATAAGCAATGTATCTAATAATTTGAAATTAATCAATTGAGTCCCTTCATCTCCAAGTGACCACTTTATGTAATCTGATATTGCACCAAATATTATAACAGAACCTTGCCATAATAAGAGGAGTTGCTCGGATGGTAATTATTTATCTGAACCTCTGACCATGAGGCACGAGGAATTAAAATAGAACTTCTTGTTTGATTATAAAATAAGTTATATATGAATTGTAAAGAAATAGGGCTTTATTTATCATTCATCTTTATTTATCACTAATAATAATTCTCCTAATCAACTACTAAACGACCTTCAAGTTCTCTTGAGATATTATGAACACACAGAGAGTAGAAACACACATGTCCACTAGTATTAACAATGAATCAGTTCAACAATCAATGAATCCCCTATTTGTTTATCTAACAAAAAGAAGCAAAAGTATTTCTTCTGCTAGGCTATGTTACTCAGGTTCTTCAAAAAATGTCAATGGGTGCGTATCGATTCGCCAAAAAGTAATGTATATTTGAAGAATTCGAAACAGATGCCGCATCAAAAGTGAAAAGTCGGCGCAATTAAACTCCTCAAATGTTCAGCTGTAGCATTCTTTTGTAGCAGTAACTCACATCAGCCTGAATTAACACAAAAACTCCATTAGACTATTAGAAATAGGCAAAACATTTATCTAAATCATAAAAATTAAAAAAAATAAAACTTACCATTTGAAGAAATCCATTTATAGGCAAATCATTTATCTCCATAACCAATTCTTGTATGGTGAAATCTCTGTTTACTGCTAATAATGTTGCAGCTGCTGCTATTACAGATGGTCTATGATTCATTAAGCACAAATCTGCTTAAACAAATAAATTAACAAATGATCAGAAAACAGGGGAGGGGTAAGGAAATTAATTAGGACTTTACTAATTACTACCTCTTAAAGCAATCATGATGATTCGAGCCGTTGTTATTCGAGTTATGTGTAATCTTGTAACATCTCTGCAGAATCTTGATACGAAAAAATTTCCGAAATCAAAAGGAGTAACACAATTCATATTCCAGCTGAATTGATCAAGAACCAAACGCTCCATTCGCGTTATGTGATTCACATTAATTTCGTAAGGTCCTAATGGATACTCTGATAGTGATGGCACATCATCTATGTTATCATTCATTTTTGCAGATAATGCTAAACAAGTCACTGCTAATAACCTCACTGCCCAGAGCATTCCATTCTACAAATTCAACAACAACAAATAATCTTAGATGGTATCGTATTGTTTTCGGAGGAATCAAATTTTTTTCTTCTTACCTCTAATCTCATCTGGGCAAGAAATCTGTCCACATACATCGCTGCTCTGTAAATTGTTCGTCTGCTCATTCGAAATTGTCGCCCTGTCTGTATCAATATTGAAAAAAAGATCAGTCTTTTTACCATAACAACAACAAATTCAGGGGAAAATGGGTTTTTTGACATGCTCTGTAAATTTATGAAAAATGAAGTGAATTGGGTTCTTGATTTACTAACTCTGCTGATGTAACGGATTGCATGAGTTCGAATTTCTTGATTCCAATTGTCATTCACAAGTTCTTCAACTTCTTGATCATTAAGTCGAACATCAGTGATTTCTCGGCTGATCAATATCTGTATGTCATCGTCATTGCTATTGTTGTCATCGTCATCATCATCATTGACGCCATTTTCTTGTTGCATTTCTTCATCTTCTTCTTCAGTCAGATATTCAGAACTTTCCATCTTTCTTTGATTACTCTCCCTTATGATTTTTGTGTGATATTATTACTTGTGTGAATAACCGTTTATACAATACTAATAACTGAAAAATAACAGAAAAAAACTGAAAAATGCCGGAAAGTTACCTATTGTTTCATAATTTATACTATCGTATCGTATTGTTTTAATGAATAAAATATTCAGATGGATTATGTCAATTCTTTACGTAATGTCACGCATTCATAATTTTGAATGATAATCGCACAAGAAGAGTAGATTACGAAATAGAGCTACTTTGGAAATGCAAATCACATGATAAAAATAAGATTATCAAACAATAAGTAAAGACAGTTAGGGAGTGCTTTACCATCAAGAGATTCCGGATGCAAATTTGAATCTAATCACGCTCAAATATGGATATTGGACACCGGGTGGGAACCCCCCAAAAAATAAGTAAAAAGGACAAATTGAGAAAGAAAATTTTAAGAAAACGACACGATCACACCAAATCGATCGCTACCTAAAATAGATCTTTTCTTCATTACCTAATAATGAATTTAAACGATACGATACAATTACACTTAATTAACGATCAAAATAAAAATAATATCTAAACTAACAATAGAAACTAATAACCATCATAACAAGATGTGAATGTGTGTGGAGGTGAGGATTGGGGGAAGAGACGAGTCCGGAGCCTAAAGGGTATAAATTATTAACAAAAATTTCAAAATGGTATATGAATCTTTATTTTAACCAAAAGGGCAAAATCACTGCAATAGCAGCGATTTCCAATTTTTTTTTAATAAATCGCTGCCTAAGCAGCAATTTCTTTATTTATTTTTTTAATTTATTATTTGAAATTTTTAAAAAAAATGAAGAAGAGCAAATCGCTGCGAGTGCACGATTTGTCTCCAATTTTTC